GGCAGCACCCTGGTGACATTAGGCAGCAATGCTGAAGCCATGGCAGGAAAGGGTGGAGGGAGAGCTTAAAAGATATTATTCCTCCCACAGGCTGATCAGCAGGCAGCGAGTTACTGGCATCAGATGTTACCTAACTTTCTTAAACTTCCACCCAATAAACCGCTTCCTGAAGTCCCCTCTCCATGGGCATCCACCAGAGTTACTGAACAGCTCAGCAGCCTCTCAAGCGTGAGGGGAGAGACAACAAAGCGAGCAGGGACAGGCTAGGTCTCTAATGTGCATTTTACGGGGAGAGGAAAGGGAGGCGGTGTGCTTGTTTGAAATCAGAAAAACAGTAGCTTCCCCAGCACTAATCCTGAGTATCTGCCTGGTGTGTGGCTCTGGAAGGCTTGGTGTTGGCCATAAGATGACATTCTCTCTCCTTGTCCTAACAAACCTGCCCCTACACTTGCTCAGCCCGAAAGCCCTCTCTGAAATCTCCCTCCTTGCTGTGGTCTGCATGACATGCAGCGGGCTCAAGAAGTGTGACCAGGCTGGTTGGTGTCACCACCTGTTTCTCCATGAACAAAGAGCCGGGCACTATCTGGGAAGCTTCTAGTGTGTGCTGAAAGATGGATAAGTGGGTGGTGATGTGTCTTGAGGATCAGCTAATCCAGAGCTGCTCACACGCTCATTCTCTCTCTTTTTCTACTTCAGGAAAGCTGGAGAGCTTTTAGGTACCCAGCAAGTACACCAGCAGCAACAGGAAACACCAAATAGCCTAAACATATTGTCCAGCCTTGCGGCAGTGAGGACTAGCTCTCTTCTAGGGATGCATTAATGCCACGAGGCGCCAGGAAGAGGAGCTGGCAGCGTTCCTGCTTCGCTCCTCCCGCTAGGAGAGGAAAGCCTGCTGACAAGTGCAGTGCTGAGCCGGACTCCTGGCCCAAGGAAAGCTGCAAGGGGTGAATGACGTATGGAAAAAAACAAAGCTGTCTGACTGCGGAGATCCTCTAGTTCTTGCCCCTTTGTGCTGACAAGCACCCGGCTTTCACCTTCCCTAAGGGTGATGCGGGCTGTCCTGCTTTCCTTGCCTAAAGGGCCGGCCATGCTGTGTGCTTCGCTTGCTTTGAAGAGATCTTCTGCACCAGAAATGAGGACACAGCCAGCCTGACAGACCAAAGCACCCCTTGCACCTTTGGCCCCCTCCTCTCGCCCAGTCCAGGCTCGGAGCAGGAAGGATGGACTCACTGCACAGGGAAAACTTCCGCACCATCACGCAAGCCAGGGTTTGCCCTGTAAGGTCCTGAGGGAGAGAAGACCCTGGCATTGGGGAAGGGAAGGCTGCAGAGGCCAGATAACGCCTGCCTGTGCCGGGAAGGCCATGGGGAGAAGAAGCAGAGCCAATTAAACTCACCAGTCAATGGAGGAGAAGTAATGGGATTAAGATGCAGCAGGGAGAATTCAGGTTAGATATCAGGGAGCAGGCTATCATGAGAGGAGCAGACTGGGCCATCGACTGAGCTGCCAAAGGAATCGCCGTCACCGACACAGACACGGCAGAGAGCAGACACAAGTCTGCGGGAAGAGCAGGCGCCTGACTGCTGCTCAGCCCGGAGCTGTGGCGGGTGGATGTCTGCCTGCCGGGGGACATGGGACCACTCCACCACGGAGAGGCTGTGCGCCAGGACAGGGACAGACTGGCTTTGGGGTATCTGTGCTGATAACCTGAGCTGCAAGGAGAATTAAATCAGCTGCCCTTTGCACAGGGCAGCAGCGTCCTTCGCCAACACTTAGGAGGTCACCTATGTACACACACGCCTCCTGCCAGCTGTGTCCCACCCAACCCCTGCTTCAGTCTGTCCTCTTCAGCTCCACCACTTCTCTGCCAAGCAACCAGGCAGCTCCTGTCCCTCATGCCCCGTCCCGCTTCCCTCCCATGCCCAAGTATGCAATCCCCCTTTCCTGAGCCTAAGACAGGGCAGGAAGGTCTCCAGCCTGGCAAGAATGGAACAGGCTGGACCGAGGTGGAGCAGCTTCCCCAGGTGCAGTGGGGCAGGAGGGCCAAGAATACGAGGAAGGGATCTCTGAGAAATCCTGGCATGCAGCAGAAAGCACTGGTGACAGAGGTTCTGCTTCTCCTCAGGGTGCTGTGGGCCTTGCATGGCCGCAGACTGTGGCACCGGGACTATGTTGGGGACCTGGCCATGGTGGGCACTGTGTGCATGGGGAAGGTGTTCAGCAGCAGGAAGACTCTGCATGGATCCCACAGGCCAGAGCAGCAGCCATGCCTCAAAAACACGTATATCCACCTGGACAGACCATGTCCAGACTAAGATTTCATGGGTGAAAATGGGACCAGAGGAACAAATTGAGGCAGTTAGAGGACTAGGTGCCTGAAAGCAGAACTCTGCTGCAGGTGCTAAAAGATGAGGGCACAGAGACCCTACTAATCTGTCCCTATTCTGAGGACTGTCTTTGCCCCAGGGAGCTAAAAGGCCTGCCAAACCTTTGATAAATCCATCTGTCCAAGGCACCTTGGAGGCTGGAGATAGAAAGATGAGCCATCGCATCCTAATTTAAGCAATGTGTAGATTTCAAAGACAACATGTTGGGAAGGACAAGCGGACCATGTTCCTCACTAATGACCCATTGCAGCTCCACTGACTGAACGTCTCCTGATTCACCAGGACATACAAGCACACACCATTAACTCCCCAGAGTCATGAGGACCCTCAGCATCAGCCTTGGCTTACATTAGGCCCTTGGAAAGAGAAGCACAAGCGCTCAGCAAGCCAAATGTCATCACTAAGCAAGAAAATCCCAGAGCAGCCAAGAGGGCTGTAGCCGCTTTTACCCAGTCTGAATCTGTGCCAATGATGATGAGAACAAAACGAGGAGAAGGATGCATCCACACTGGAGACCTTATGCTTCCCTGTTCTCAAAAGGACCCTCTATTTAAGCCAACATCTAGGTCTGGTACTTATAGTAAGGGCAGATTACAAGATAGAATCATAACAAAGTGGGATTTTAAGAGCCTTTCTGCTCAAATCGCCGTTGTTTGGAGTCCAGAATTTGAGATCCAGGAGGACAAGGGCAAGAGACACTGACCAGGGCATGCAAGGCACAAAAAGCAGAAGAACAGACCACTCCAGAGGCAATGCCAAGTGGAGCCTTGAAATTCCCCAGGTGCTGATCGCTCCAGTCTTGCCAGCAAGAGATGAGTTTCAAAAGAGGACTGATGTGGTGGAAGGGTGCATTTGCAGCCTTCCCAGGACCTGAGAGGAAGCAGTGAGTAGAGAAACAGACCCTTCATTAATAAATCGGCAGGGGGAAGTCTGGCTGAACTAAATAAAAAGCCTTACTGTTTGATGTTACATCTTGCCCTTCTGCGAAGGATGCAGAGGCAGGCACCAAGCTCAAACGCCCAGGTTCTAATAGACTTGCTCTTGTCACCCAAGACGTGCTGTTCTCAGCTGTTGTTTGCCCCGGTGGATGAGGGAACCATGGTGAGGCTGAGGAGCAGCGCTGTCTGGAGAAACTGCTGGCTGATTTGGCACGCACTCCCCCAAAGAGCTGCCTGAAAAGGAGACAGCTTTTCTGAGAACAGGGACGTGAGAGATCTGGGGATGTGTTGACAGAGAAGGAAAAGCTGTGTGCCTGCATGCTGCAGCCACTGATGCAGCTTCAGTGACATGAAGGCTCCTTGCCCAGCATCCCCAAGATCCTTTCCAGCAGGACAGAGGGGCAGCACACAGCTCAGAGCAGGCCAACCTGTCCTGACAAGAGCAAGGCAGAGGAAGCCAGAGGCTAATGGGCTACACAGAAGCCACCTCACTTATCACAGCCTGACACCTCTCTGCAAAAGTGTCTGCAGTGCAAACCGCTTGGTTTTAAGCAGGTTCCCCTCCAGTGTATTCCCAGCCTCTGTTCTGCAGAGCATCCCTCATGGCAGACGCCTCCCTGCCTGCCAGCTGCGGGTCCTGCACCCACAGTGGGGCTCCACAGAGGGGGAAGCCCTCTGCTCCCCATCTCCCCAGCCCAGGTTCCCCATGCTCCAGTGTGCTTTTGCATTTCTCCCCACCAGCCTCTCAGAGCCCTCTGCCAAAGCCAGGCTGCCAGGAGCCCGCAGCTCAGAGTGTGCAGCCAGAGCCCAGCCTGATCTCATGCAAAATTCACTCCTGCAGGCATGCACCACTCTGCTGCTCTATTATCAATAGGTGAACTGCAGCTGAACCTACCAGAGCCTTCCTTGATGCTTGTCTGAACCGATTAGGACACACTTCAAAGCCAGGAAGGGACCCCAGCCGCTTGACGCACCGCCTGTTACCAGGACGTCTCTCTCCCAGTGCCATCCTCTTGCCCTTCCCCAGCTCATCGGGGGCCTCCCGTTGCCTCCTTCCAGCTGAGCCCTCCTCCAGCAAGCGGATCAGTAGCGCCGCCGGTCTCCCCTCCATCTGGGTTTGCACATTCGTCCCTTCCCCAGTGCCGCCTGCCTGCTGTGACCCCAAACCAAAAGCCCTTTACCTAGGGGATGCTGACTCTCAGAGCTGGCGTGCCGAGGCTTCCTAAGGAGCCGAGCCTGGGATCCTCTGGAGGCAGTGCCATTCCCAGCAGTGAGAGCAGAGTAACAGTCGAAGCATGGTCTAAAAAAAAAAAGTGGGGAGGGTGGGGAACGGTCGGGGGGAAGGGGAAGAGCCGGATTGGTGGCTTTCAGCCTTTGTTCTAACCTGGATGCCCCGGACCTTTAGGCACAGGCAGTTACACGCTGCTCCCCAAGGGCCCGTTCCCCTCCACCCTGCGAGGGGTCTCTCTCCAGCCTGGGCAGCATGGTGGGCAGAGGTGCAGTAGGACGCGTTCTGGTGGCTGCTGGTTCCTCGGAGTACAAGCAAGCCTGGAGCCAGGGCTGGGAGCCAAAGCACCCCACTCCCTGCATCAGGCCTGTCTTTTTATTCCCCCCTTTGGATCTTGATGCCATGAATTACAGTTTTGGGGTTGGTTTGGTTGGGTTGGTTTTTTTTGCATGTGGTGGTTGGTCTAGAGTTCTGTGCCATGTCAGAGGGAGCATCAGCACTCACCCCTCCAGGAGGTCAGAGCCACAGCGAGAGAGCTTTCACTGGCTGCCAGAGATGCTCCATCCTGATGTCCTCCTGGGCCATCTCCCTCCCCTGCGCTCCTCTCCCCAAATCCTGTGCTGGCTCGGGCCAGGCAACGGACAACGAGATCTCACCGCCCTCTGCTTTCACAGTGAGGTCTCCACGCAGGACCCATTGCGGTGGAGGTGACGGTGGTCATGATTCAGGCAGCCTTCATTGCGGTGCACGATGAGGACTGGGAAGTAGAGGGCGTCCTGGTAAGGAGGGGGGTCTTCCTCCTCCACAGTCACCTGGCTGGAGAGGCGGGTCTGCTCGGTGGGACAGCTCTGCTCGTTCAGGCTCCCGCTCCGGCTCTGCCAGAGGCAGCTGCGTCGGGAGCCGTAGAGGCGGCCCAGGGAGAAGCGGCTGCTGCTGAAGGGGATCCTGGGGCTGCCGTTGCAGATGCTCAGGGCACTGCGGGAGAAGATGGAGGAGCTGCTTATAGTCCTGTGGCACCGCTCGCAGTTCTGCCGGTAGCCCCCGTACCGGCAAGCGGAGTAGCTGGTGCAGCCGGAGAGCCCCACCAAGTCCATCAGGACCGCTTCCGAGTAGCTGGGCACCAGCTGCTGGTTGGATCGGATGTGCCACTCCAGCTCGGTGCTGTCCACTGTGTTGACGCGGGGCATCCTCCGGCAGAAGGTGCGCTCCTCAGCCGGCGTCACCGCCACGTAGTCGAACCCAAAGAGTTTCTCCACGTGGTAATGGACGTAGGAGGTGCGGTACTCATTTAGCACCCGCAGGGGCCAGGATAGGGTCAGCAGAGCTGCCACCCAGAAGACATAGTGAGATACATACCAAGGCAGGTTGTCTGGGTCGGAAAAGGCCACCATGTATTCCTTGAAGTCCACGTTTTTGAGGTGCATCCCCTCCCTGGCCTCCATGTAGTCATCTAGGCCCTCGTTCTCCGTGAAGAAACGGGCCCGCTGGGTCAGGTAGGAGTTCTCCGACTCCACATTGGCAAAGCTGAAACACTTGGTGAAGCGGAGCCGCGTGGCTGGGTAGCTCTCCAAGTCAATGAGGTCCTTGGAGATGTCCTTAACTCCACAATTGGAATAATCAAACTCGGCCTCGGCCACATGGGTGTTGACCCGCTCGTGATACACTTGGGTGGTGGTGTAGGCGTCCCCATTACGGTAGCGGGTAACCTGCCGTGTCCTGCGGACGTAGTGGTAGCTGATGGCCTTCCACCAGATGCAAGGGGTGGCCTGCTGCATCCGCTGCACACGCTCATGCACGCTCTCCACGTCCACTTTGTACTGCAGCTCGTTGCGGGTGTAGCAGTGCCAGCACTCCACCAGGTACACCACGTAGAGCATCACCAGGAAGGCCAAGGGGATGTAGACATAGCCGTTGGAACAGGGGCTGTCGTGGTACATCATGGACTTGCCCTTGTAAGTGCTGTCAAAGGTCAGCCGGGTCACCTTGGTGACATGGCACCAGGTCATGGCTCCCATGCAGCCATACATGAGGAGGGACAGCAGCAGGCATTTCCAGTGGGACTCTCGGCACAGGGACTTGCTGAGAGACTGCTTCACCGGCCGCTGCTGCTCCGGGGGACCAGGAGAAGGGGAGAGAAAACAAGAGAGGAGTCAGTAGGCTGCAGCGGCAGGGGGAAGGGGAGCATCTCCCAGGATGGCACTCCTGCAGTGTGGGCAGCTGTCACCTCCTGCTTTCCTTAGTGGTGCTTTGCCCCTCCTTGGAAAACAGGCAGAGTCCAGCTGGATGTGGAGGAGAGTGGCAGAGGGCAACTCTGCCAGCCCACACCCCAAACATCCCCCTTCTTCAATGGGGAGCAACCCGCACCACTGCCACGTCCCAGGGATGGATACTGAAGCACAGCAAGATGAAGGCTGGGAGATCTTCCCAACATACCTCAGCTTCTGCACCCCTCCCACCAGCACAGGCAGCTCTAACTGATGGGTCGGCCCACCCAAACACCTCACCCCAGCTCACCCCACCACATCTCTCACCTCTGCCCTTCTCCCAGAAACGACCAACAGCAACATTCAGATTTTTCTTACCAGGGCAGCACAAGCAGCCCAGGGATGCCTGTAAGGAAGAGAAACGGACCTTCTGCAGCTGGAAAAGCCTCTGCTTAGTAATGGCGATTCCCACAACACTTGGCAGCCCAGAGGGCTCTGAAGTGCTTCTCAAGTGCTTTATAAACCACACAATCGGGAAAGTACTTTTCTGCAACTGAAATGCAGCCACCTCTGGTGGGAGAGAAAACGAATATGGAATAATGTCCTAAAATGTGTTGAGGCTGGAAGAGTACCCTACCCATCTGCAGCAACAGGGAGGGCAAGTGGTGGGTCATGGCTGCCAGTAAATGTCCCTGCCTGCACTGTGATTTGGCTGTGACAGACAAAAATCCCACACTTCAGGAAAAACTGCTCTCAGGTCTTTCATGGTGAGGAAACGGCAGGACTTCAGCAGTAGGACTTTGAAAAGAGATTGCACTGGTGTCTTCACCATAGGAACTGTGCAGGGTTTCACAAAAAACATGGGAAAAACCCCACCTCTGTCATTCTCTGCAATGCCCTGAAGTCTCAAGTATTGATCCAACTTGGTCAGTGAGACCTGACATTATCACAGCCAAAGTGAGAACGTGCAAAGAGGTTATTTGTTTTCTTACACAAGAGACTTGATGTCATCCAACCCTAATGCCATCCAACCCAACAATATCCAAAAGTGAGAGGGGGGGACAAGAACCCCAGCCTTGTGCAGATGCCACTAAACTCACTAAGAGGCATTCAGTTTTGCTCTCCTTCCCCAGCAGCACACAGCATGGCTCCCGAGTTCACCTCTGACGTTGTGGGGGCTAACACCAGCAGTAATGACACCACTGAGGGCAGTGAAGCTCAAGTCTGGCCCCATCCCTCCTCCATTCCTGAGCGCACTGGGCTGGAGAGGTCTTTCATCCAGGGATCCCAAAGAGCTTAGTGGACTCACACCACCAGAAAGTAGTGGAGGGCACTTTAACTCTTGCACAAAAAATTAAAGCAAGAAACACAGGTCACAACACCACTGGCAGGTCTAGGGAGAGATCTTGGGCTCTTCTTTCCTCTAAGAAGTCCCCCCTTCTCTCCCTGAAAAGCCCCTCAGCCCTGGCTTGGTCCCCTAGAGTCTCATGCTAATCTTTCCTCCCCACACCTTGCCAAAGCCTGGTCCACCCCATGCCAGTGGGACTTCTGCCACTGCGATTAGCAGGGCTGGATCTGGCCCAGATCTCCAACAGAGGTTTCTCTCCTGGAGGCAGTGAGCTTCCCCTCCTGCCCACCCCAGCAGCCAGCCTGCCATGAGCAGAGCAAGTGGCACATCCAGGGGGACCGCCGGTGGCAAGGGGAATGGTGTGGCATCCTCTGGGGGTCCCCCGAGCATCAGCAGCATCAAGCCCCCCTCTTCGAGGCAACTGGCTGAGCGGGAGAACCAGTGACAGAGACTCAGAGCCCGGGGAAGAGCACTACCCAGGTGGGGTAGTGGTGGTCTGCAGGCAACACTGCGGGGCATGGGGTGGTTCTGCTTGGCAGCTCCAGCACGGACGCGTGTGTCCCAGTCTTCCCAGTGCGACCCTCCACTGCAGCAGCCTCACAGTCATGGGGCAAGAACAGAACCCCAGGGAAGAGAAAAGGGATTGGGGAGAGGGAGGGGGGTCCACCAGCAGGAGAGCTGTGCCCTCCCTGCTCAGGTCCATGCTGTGGTTAGGAGAGCCTGCCTGGATCCCTCAGCCTTCACTGGGCTGCAGCGTGGCTCTCCCGTGCTGGAATGCTGTGCCAGTACACAGGAGGCTGAGGTTTCCTCTCCCACCGTTGCCTTCTGCCTTGCAAACCCTCCCCGGCAGCGGCAGCCCTGGCCGGGGGGCTCCAAGGGGACTGCTCAGCCAGAGGATGAAGCACAGGGGGTCTGAGCAGGAGATGCCAGGCACCCACAAACCGTGTGAGGGCTTGCACAGAAACAGTGCCTTGTTGGGGTAGGGGGGGGGAACTGCAAATGGAGCCCAAGGAATAAAGCAAAGCGTCCAGCTCGCTCATTTGACAAGTCGGGGAAGGGGCACCGGGGAGACAGGTCTTCGGCCAGGTCTGTCTCAGAAAAGCAAATTCCAGCACCCCGTGGCTCCCTGGCCCCTCGCATCCCACACTGCCTGCGTCGTCCTGCCCGGGAGAAGGGCGATGGTGGCTGTCGCCCTGCGGAGATGTGGGCAAGCCCCGCTGCGGTGACCCAGCCGGGGCAGGGAGCGCGGTGCAGCCCCGGCGCGGTTCCAGGAACTGTGTTAGCAGGGCTCTAGTCCACGCATTAGTCTCCTCCTAGGAGGAGACTACGCAGCATTTAGACACTGCAGCGCTTTTACAGGGTCACGCTAACCCCTGCTGTAAACTGTTTACAACCCAGTTTTTTCCTAGGCTTTTGAGGTGAAACACACACACACACACATCGCCCGTGCTGGTGGGGTTTTGGAAAGCTGATCAAGTGCCGATGACGGGATACGACCACAGCAGAGACAGAGGAGGAGCCAGCTGCGGAGTCTAATCCCAGTAGGAACTGCAGCATCCCTGCTCCTCTCCCAGGCTGCAAAGGGCTCACAGGAGCAAACAACCGGCTCCGCAGCTTCCCCCCACAGAAGCAGCTGAATAAGGTTGCCCCCTCGAGCTCTTTACCAGCCTTGGGGAAGTCCAGCACAGCAAACACGCAGATGAGAAAGAGAAAGCTGGGGAAAGGTAAATCCTTTCTGTCCCAGAACAGTGTCCCTGGGAGGAGAACAGGCTCTGATATAAATGCCATCATCATCTGCCCGCTGCAGTCTGATGGAACGAGGAGAAAGGCTTGCCCTACTTCATTGCAAACAGGGCTTCCCTCCATCACTGGGACCTCCCCCATTGCTCAGGCTCGAGCACTGGAGAGCAGTGAGCAAATCTGCTATTGCAGGGGCACCCCCACATCTCCACGGTGCCGGGGGGGGGCAGAACTGGCCCAGCCATGGCTCGGCCAACCCCTTTGTGGGACCCCAGTCGATGCTCTTCTCTGTGCTTCAGTTCACCATGTAGAGCTCATGGGGTAACCCTTGCCAGCCGTCTGGGCGCTAATTGTACCACACATTGGGAAGGGCAAGGGGTAGAGCATTGCTACGGCGTCCCCTCCCTCGTACATAGTGTTTGGCTCTGATGTTGTCCCTGAGGTGAAAGGAGATGGAATCCCACACCTGCAGCTGCTGCTCTGGGATGGGAAGGGATGGATGGGATGACTTCTGAGCAGCCGTGAAGCAAATGGAGGTGCCCGCAAGGCACAGGCAGTAGAAGAGAGGGCCATCACTGCTTGCACTAAACTCCTTTGAGATCTGAGGAATCCTCTTCTCAAAAAACCCTCAAGGGGGTAAACCTGCCCAGAACCCCGGTGGCCAAGCATATGGCCCAAAATACCTTCATCGCCCCTATAACCTTGACCCTGCAACTTTGAATGCTAAACAACTCCAGAAATCCTTCAAGCTCTTCAAAGCTCCCCTCTGAACCAGCCTGTCACTGGCCCCATCTACCATCCCTCTATTGAACAAGTGTTCCCATCACCTCACCTCCTGCACCTCTCACTTACTTGTCCCTGCAGAGACCAGCTTGAAACCCCCAATTCACCCCCAGAATGCTAAGCCCTCACTTTACAAGATGTCCCAGGGTTCACAGGGTTAGGTGTCGCAGAGACCTACAGGTCTGAAAAAAAATGAACCAAATGCCCCAGAGCAGCAGCCTGAAGGCCCGGGTAGCTCCTGAGTGCCAGGCTGGGGGCAGCAGCTTACAGGGGACTCCAGTGGGATTCCTGAGCATCAGTTCCCATGGCCCTGCCCTGCCGATTTGCTTACATCATGCAACAATTAAATGAGCCCTGTCCCCTTTGACCTCAAATCCCCAGAACAAGGCAGGTGGGGAGGATTTCTAGCAACTGCTACTGTCTTCCAAGGCCCTGGACAGACATGGACAACTCCTGGTCAGGATGGTCCCAGCAAACCCCCGTACCACACCCCACATGCCAACTGCCCAGAGTCAGGAACTACCTGCCTAGAAGAAAGAGCTGGCTCAGCCCCAGGTTGGCAGCGTTGCCAACTGCAGAGGAAAGGGGAAGGCTGAGCATCTAGGAGCCAGGGAACCCTGCCAGCAGTCAGCTCCTGCAATGGTACCAAGGTCTCCATTTTACAGAGCAGCTTGGAGGAGGACTGGTTCCCTCCATTGGATCCCACCTGAGCAGCAGGACAAGGACATTTTTTCGCTTATTTCCAGGCTGAAGAGCTTGTCCCCTGGCATTTCATACCCTCCAAGGTGGAAATGCATTGCTGAGTGAGATTCAGCTCACCACCATTAAGTGCAGGGCATGTGATGCCAACAGGGAACAAGGGCTCAGCCAGCCTGCTCCAGCCAGCTCCAGCCAGTAGCTCTTGCTACTTGCCTTGCTGGGACAAGCTGAGTAGCACCTGAAGTCTTGCACGGCTCCAAGGTACAATGACCCAAGATACGTCAGGATGAGGCACCTTCAACTGAGACAGAGCTCATTTCCCATTTTCCAGTCCCCAGACATCTCCTCTGGCTCCCTGCCAGCCCTGGCCAAAGGCTCCTTACAGGTGGGATTCAGCCACACTCCTGGGATGCTCAGCAATGCTGGCAGCAGCAGTTCGTCCTGATGGAAATGAGGACATGGCACTGCCAATACTGCCCTACACAGGCACTATAGGGGAGCAGGAACACACCCCCCCCCAATATTTCTAAAGACAAGAGGATTGCCCTTGGTCAGTCCATGAATCCAAGCTCCCCACCAAGGTCTCTCTCCTCATTGCATCAGATGAGACACCAGCAAGCATGGAACTGTCAGGAGAGGCTGCAGCTTCCCTCTCCTCCACCAGCTGCTTCGTGCAAGTCTGTGATAGCTCCTGGCCGCGGGAAGCGTGCTCTTAGCCTAAACAGTGCAGGTCATGGGCTGCAGCCCTTCCGCCGGCTCCCACAGGGGAAGATTATACTGACACCCTCGTTGGCAGCCACCGCAGAGCAATCAAAGCCCAGACGTTCTTCTCGTAATC